TTATCTGCTTTCCGGAGGGACAACTCTCTCCGTGACTCCCTTGTCCGCTCCACACTCCCCTCCAGCTCCACCACACCCGGCACTTTTCCCTGCAACCGCAGGAAGTGCTACACCTGCCCCCATACCTCCTCCCTCACCCCCATCCCAGGCCCCAAGAAGACTTTCCACATCAAGCAGATGTTCACCTGCACATCTGCCAATGTGGTATACTGCATCCGCTGTACCCGGTGTGGCTTCCTCTACATCGGGGAAACCAAGCGGAGACTCGGGGACCGCTTTGCAGAACACTTACGCTCGGTTCGCAACAAACAACTGCACCTCCCAGTCGCGAACCATTTCAACTCCCCCTCCCATTCCTCAGACGACATGTCCATCCTGGGCCTCCTGCAGTGCCACAACGATGCCACCCGAAGGTTGCAGGAACAGCAACTCATATTCCGCTTGGGAACCCTGCAGCCCAATGGTATCAATGTGGATTTCACAAGTTTCAAAATCTCCCCTCCCCCCACCGCATCCCAAAACCAGTCCAACTCGTCCCTGCCTCCCTAACCTGTTCTTCCTCCCACCTATCCCCTCCTCCCACCTCAAGCCGCACCTCCATCTCCTACCGACCAACCTCATCCCGCCCCCTTGACCTGTCCGTCCTCCCTGGACTGACCTATCCCCTTCCTAACTCCCTACCTACACTCACCTTTCCTGGCCCCATCCCCGCCTCTTCGACCTGTTTGTTTCCTCTCCACCTATCCTCTCCTCTATCCCTCTTCTATCCGCCTCCCACTCTCTCCCTATTTATTTCAAAACCCCCTTCCCCTCCCCCTTTTCTGATGAAGGGTCTAGGCCCGAAACGTCAGCCTCTCTGCTCCTATGATGCTGCTTGGCCTGCTGTGTTCATCCAGCCCTGCACCTTGTTGTCTCGGATTCTCCAGCGTCTGCAGTTCCTACTATCTCTGTCAAACAGTTGTCTTTCCAGTTGTAGCAAAGTTGTACAAATACCAGATGGCGCCACCACACTACAATTCTTTAATGGCTGTCTTAGGTGCTCTTTGACCTACCCTATTCTCCAGTACGGCGCTATCCATTGTGTGGGAGATGGAAGCCTGTGTGTATCTCCAATGAGGACAATTGAGATAGCCATTGTTACATGGCTTTTAAAAATTTACTTATGAGAGCGTCCAGCTGCAGACTTTAGTGTCTTGGTTTTTGTTAGGGTAATTGATTTCTGTACTGGGACAGATTTCTGGTTGAAGGCTGCTGGGTGAAATAAGCCAAATGAGTGGACAGAATGTTACTAACCAGTGGTGTCACTGCACTAACAGAGGGCTGCACCTCAACATTCTCACTTTTCTTTGTAAGAATCATACATAAGAACGACTTGATGATGTTCAAGTCTTTTTCCATGAGTTCCCTCAAGCATATTGTGTTGTATGAAGTGCCAGAATCCAGAACCTGAATAGCATCAGTCTTACTTTCCACTGAAGATTGCAGAATTTTCATCATAATCTCTATATTGCAGTGTCCTGTGCATAGAAATGAGGATGTGCTTCCTTGCTGACTGTATCATGTGAAGACCTGCCACCAATTGAAGGCAAACCCCTTCATCTGAAACTCTCTGACTGATCAATGCAGCAAGCAATTGCTGGTGCATGGCAGATGAACTGGAATTGTTCACTTGTGACATCTGTTGGAGAATTGATCCACAAGAGTGCTAGTTCATGGGCCATCTTTCCCTGCTGCCCTTGCTGCAGCTAACTTGTGGTCTGTAATTCATCCAGCATAGCTTCCTTTAACTAACTCTCTATTGTAAAATGTTGTGCTGCTTTTTGAGCTGGTGTTTGCAAGAGAGGAAATGAGTCACACTTGTTCTTGACCTGCTGATGTGTAATATTTTGAGGATGTGCATGTGGGGAGAGTATCATCAGATAGAGGAAGAAAGAAGCACCAGGTATTGGGAAATGAGGGTGGTAGGAGGTCCTTCTTCTCCATAAGGACTGTAGGAAAACCTTTGGATCTTTGCATTGTGCCTCGTTTACAGCACAGAAGCAAAAGTGCATCACCTCCGAAAGGAGGTGCATGTTCCTTTAAACTGTATGTCTGTTGGCTGAATTCACACCACCAATACAGAGCATATGCTAAGAATTAATGTCGCTGTGGTTGTACCTCGGCTATTACATTGGAATGAGGGACAAATCATTCATTAGGCAAAAAAAAACATAAAACACTCATTCAGTGTCCAAGAATCCAAGTAAAAATTCACCTTAAATTAGCTCTCCTTATTTTGTAAGGTTTAAGAATGCTGTAGAACCAGTTTTAATCTACTCGATTTAAAGTCAAGCACAAAGTCCAAAGTGGATTAATTTAATGAGGGTAGTGTGGAGTCTTACTATAAGCATATATTTGTCTCACAAGCACATCCATCATCTCTCTTGCAATTTTTTTCAGTTAACTTCTCTGTTGGTTGGTTGGTTGTTGTTTTAACTGATCCATGCGATTCATAATGGTTAGGTTCTTTGGTTCAGGCTTTGTTCAATCAAGCTGACCAAGACAATTGAACTCTGGCTTAGGTTTCATGCTAGTCCTTTCACTTTGCTGTTTGCCCAGCAATCACTAACTATTAATATCGTTACTGCTTTGAACAAATTGTGTTTTGAATGCTGTATTTATTTCATATGTTACAGTCCGTGATGAAGACACTGTGAAACATTATAAAATCAGGCGGTTGGATGAGGGAGGATTTTTTATCACAAAAAGAGCAACCTTTCAAACATTGACAGAGCTTGTCAACCACTATTTGCAAAATCAAGATGGCTTGTGCACGCAACTTAGAGCTCCATGCCAGAAGGTGAAGCAAATGTATACTTTTATCAAAAAACTTTATTTTACTTTATCAAATCCTTTACTTGTTCATTTTTCAATAAAATGTTTGCCCACAAGAAATAGGACTAAGAGATTGTTTTCTGGAAACAATGATTAGTAAAATAGTTACTGAATTGTAAAGACTACTTAAAGCCATTCAAATAAACAAAGTATTATCCCAAAGAGTTTATTCTGTTTGTTGGTTTGCAGAACAAACACAATAATGACAAGTTTGAAATGATGTCCAGTGAAGTTATGTGGATGGAACTGAGAAATAGGAAAGGGATGATCACTTCAGTGGGATTGTTCTATAGGCCCCCCAGTAGTCATTGGGAAATTGAGAAGCAAATAAGTAAGGAGATCTCAGATACCTGTAAGAATAATAGGGTTGTAATGATAGCTGGATTTTAAATTTCCAAAAATAGACAGGAACATCCAGTGTTAAGGGCTTGAATGGAAAGGAATTTGTAAAGTGTATCTAAGAACATTTTCTTATTCAGTATGTGGATGTACCTACTGGAGAGAGAACAAAACTTGAACTTCTCTTGGGTAATAAGGCAGGGCACCTGACTGAGGCATCAGTGAAGGAGTACTTTGAGGCCAGTGATCATAATTCTATTAGTTTTCAAATAGTTATGGAAAAGAATAGACCTGACCTAAAAGTTAAAGTTCTAAATTGGAGTAAGGCCAATTTCGACGGTATTCGGCAAGCACTTATAAAAGTTGATTGGGAGAGGCTATTTGCAGGTAAAGGGAAGGTTGGAAACTGGGAGGCCTTTAAAAATGAGATAACAAGAGTTCAGAGACAGTATGTTCCTGTTAGTGCAAAAGGCAAGGCCATCGGGGGGGTGGGGGGCGATGGCCTAGCGGTATTATCGCTGGACTGTTAATCCAGAAACCCAGATAATGTTGTGGGGACCTGGGTTCAAATCCATTCATGGCAGATGGTGGAATTTGAATTCAATAACTGTCTGGAATTCACAATCTAATGTTGACCGTGAATCCATTGTCGATTGTCGGAAAAACCCATCTGGTTCACTAATATCCTTTAGGGAAGGAAACTGCCATCCTCACCTGTTCTGGCCAACATGTGACTCTAGGCCCATAGCAATGTGGTTGACTCTTAACTGCCCTCTGGGCAATTAGGGATGGGCAATTAATGCTGCCTAGCCAGTGACACCCTCATCCCGCGAATGAATAAATGGTAGATGTAGAGAATGCTGGATGACTAGACAAATTAATGCTCTGGTCAAGAAAAAGAAAGAGGCCAATGTCAGGTATAGATAGCTGGGATCAAGTGAATCCCTAAAGGAGTATCACAGCAATAGGAGTATACTTAGGAGGACAAAAAGGGGACATGAGATATCTTTGGCATGTATGATTAAGGAGAATCCAAAGAGATTCTACAAATAGGTTAAGGGAAAAAGTCTAATTAGGGAGAGAATAGGGCCCCTTAAAGCACAACAAGGCTGGCTATGTGTAGAGCCAGAGGAAGTGGGTGAGATACTAAATGGATATTTCGTATCAGTGTTTTTAGTGCAGAAGGATATGGAAACTGGAGAACTTGGGAAAATAAATAGTGATATCTTAAAAAGTGTCCATATTACAGAAGAGGAGGTGCTGAACATTGTAAAAAGCATTAAGGTGGATAAATCCTTTTGACCTGATCAGGTGTACCCTAGAACTCAGTGGGAAGCTAAGGAAGAGATCGCTGGGCCCCGTGCTGAGATATTTGTATCATCGATAGCCACAGGTGAGGTGCTGGAAGACTGGAGGTTGGTTAATCTGGTGCCATTATTTAAGAAAGGTGGTAAGGAAAAGCCAGGGAACTATAGACTGATGAGCCTGACATCAGTGCTAGTACGTTTTGGGGGCGGGGAGGATTCTGAGGGATAGGGTTTACATGTATTTGGAAAGGCAAAGACTGATTAGGGATATTCAACATGGCTTTGTGCGTGGGAAATCTTGTCTCACAGACTTGATTGAGTTTTTTGAAGAAATGACAAAGAAGATTGCTGATGTCAGTGCAGTGGGTGTGTCTATATGGACTTCAGCAAGGTGTTCAACAAGGTTCCACATGGCAGACTGGTTAGCAAGGTTAGATCACATGAAGGTAGGCTTGAAGGTAGGAGACAGAGGGTGGTGGTGGAGGATTATTTTTTGGACTGGAGGCATGTGACCAGTGGTGTGCCTCAAGGATTGGTGCTGGGTCCACTACTTTTCGTCATTTATATAAATGATTTGGATGTGAATATAGGATGAATGGTTAGTAAGTTTGGAGATGACACCAAAATTGGTGGTGTAATGGACAGCGAAGAAAATTATCTCAGAGTTCAACAGGACCTTGACCAGATGAACCGAGGAGCGGCAGATGGAGTTCAACTTAGATAAATGTGAGGTGATGCATTTTGGAAAGGCAAATCAGGGCAGGACTTATACACTTAGTGGTAGGGTCCTGGGAGTGTTACTGAATGAAGAGAACTTGGGATCCAGGTTCATAGTTCCTTGAAGGTAGAGTCCAGGTAGACAGGGTACTGAAGAAGGCATTTGGTATGCTTGCCTTTATTGGTCAGTGCATTGAATATATAAGGTGAGATGTCATGCTCTGGCTGTACAGGACATTGGTTAGGCTGCTTTTAGAATACTGCATTCAATTCTGGTCTCCCTGCTATAAGAAGGATGTTGTCAAACCCGAAAGGGTTAAGAAATTTACAAGAATGTTGCCAGAGTTGGAGATTTTGAGCTTTTGGGAGAGGCTGAATAGGCTGGGGCCATTTTCCCTGGAGCATTGGAGGCTAAGGAGTTTACAAAATCCTGAGGGCATGGATAGGATGAATAGCCCAGATATTTTTCCCAGGGTAGATGAGTCCAAAATTAGAAAGCATTGTTTTAAAATGAAAGGAGAAAGATTTAAAAGGGACCTAAGGGGCAACTTTTTCATGCAGAGGGTGGTGCATGTATGGAATGAGCTGCCAGAGGAAGTGGAGGAGGCTTTTACAATAACAACATTTAAAAGGCATCTGGATAGTTATATGAATAGGAAGGGTTTCGAGGGATATGGGCCAAATGCTGGTAAATGGGACTAGATTAATTTAGGATATCTGGTCAGCATGGATGAGTTGGACCAAAGGGTCTGTTTGTGTGTTGTATAACTCCATGATCCTGTGACCATAGTAAATCAGCCTGCATTTGCAAAACTCCAAACCTAATATCTGTGATTGGACAGAACTTGACCTATAATTCTGAGTGTGCTAATTGCTATGCTAGCAATCAATTTGAGATAATTACTCAACCTCATAATGTGGTTCTTTTAATCATGCTAGAAGAGATGTGGAAACATTTGTAAGGATTATTGCTTTGCAGACAAAAGAAATATGCTCAAGTAACCCACTTAGTTTGAATTGCACCTACGCACAGAAAGCACATATTTCCCTCAGAGATAGTAGGAACTGCAGATGCTGGAGAATCTGAGATAACAAAGTGTAGAGCTGGATGAACACAGCGGGCCAAGCAGCATCAAAGCTTTAGGTTTTCTTCGGGCTTCAGGAGGGACAGCTTGATTTCTTTTTTTTTGCATCCCCTTATTATTAAAGGGACAGTTATATTTCTGAAGCTTTGTTACAGCCCTGACTTATACCTAAAATTGATCTTTTTAAAAAGAGTATTAGTGTACATTGAGACTGCCATGTTGCTCCTCTGATGCTGCTTGGCCCGCTGTGTTCATCCAGCTCTACACCTTGTTATAGCACATATTTCCCTCTTGGTTTCTACCAAACAAAGTCTCAGGCTATCAGAGTCAACCTGCTAACCAATCAATTTCCCTTTCCTCCTGTACTGTAAATTGTTGTGTTTGAAATTGGATATTTTTACATTCTTCATGACGCAGTTGAAACATTTGTTTCTTGTAGATTTGATATTAATCTTCAACTAAATTTATCCATAGTCTTGTAGATTCTATTTGTTGGCTCTGTATGCAATATTGAAACATGTGAGATGTTTGACTCTTTGTTTTAAATCATTAGCTGGAAACACCAGTTACTGTTGGGTTATCCTACAACACTGTTGATCATTGGGAAATTGCACGTGACTCTCTGAAACTGATAAAGAAATTGGGTGCTGGAACATTTGGAGAAGTATGGCAAGGAGTTTGGAATGACAGAACTCAAGTTGCAATAAAAACCCTGAAAACTGGTAAGATCATTTATCTGGCCTTTGGACAATGCAGTGCCTAAGATTAATAAAAATAGAAAACTGTTACTCATGAGTTGAAATTAAGTGGTGGGCTGGTTAAATGAGAAAATAGTAAGGAAAAGATAAAAACATGTAATAGACGCGTACAGATGTGAAAACACAGAGAAAAGACTTCTAGTGAAGATTGGGATTTATTGGGATTTTAGAAGGCACTTGGAATATAACTGTTAAAATGTTTGAAGGTTAGAAATCAAAGGTTTAAAAAAATTGAGATCTTGGAAATATATAGAACATAGAACAGTACAGCACAGTTCAGGGCCTTTGGCCCACAATGTTGTGCCGACCTATTATCCTACTAAGATCGATCTACCCTGCATACCCTACATTTTACTATGCTCCATATGCTTACCCAAGAGTCGCTTAAAAGTCTCTAAAGTCTCTGACTCCACTACCACTGCCGGCAGCGCATTCCACACACCCACCACTCTCTGTGTGAAGAACCTACCTCTGACATCTCTCCTATACCTCCCTCCAATCACCTTAAAATTATGCCCCCTTGTAATAGTAATTTCCGCCCTGGGAAAAAGTCTCTGACTATCCACTCTATCTATGCCTCTCATCATCTTGTAAACCTCTATCAAGTCACCTCTCATCCTTCTTCACTCCAATGAAAAAAGCCCTAGCTCCCTCAACCTTTCCTCATAAGATCTGCCCTCCAGTCCAGGCAGCATCCTGGTAAATCTCCTCTGCACCCTCTCTAAAGCTTCCACATCTTTCCTATAGTGAGGTGACCAGAACTGAACACAATATTCCAAGTGTGGTCTAACCAGAGTTTTGTAGAGCTGCAGCATAACCTCACCGTTCTTAAACTCAATTCCCCTGCCATTGAAAGCCAACACACCATACGCCGTCTTAACAACCCTATCAACTTGGGTAGCAACTTTGAGGGATCTATGGATATGGACCCCAAGATCCCTCTGTTCCTCCACACTGCCAAGAATCCTGCCATTAGCCCTGTATTCTGCATTCAAATTTGACCTTCCAAAATGAATCACTTCACACCTTTATATAATGTGAGGTAATAAATTGGGAGGGTATGAAAAGTTCTGTAGATTCTAAAATTTCAATAAGTAGGTAAGCAATATGGGCAGATGGGTGACTTATGTTGTTTAGTTCAGAACCGTGAAAATTAATGCATATGAAAACAGGAGCAGAAAAGGAAATACATCTTAAATGGTCAGATTTTAAACTAAATAAAGAAGCAGAAGGTTCTTGATGCACAGGTGAGGAGATTTGCTCCTTAAAAATCGATGACACAATTTAATTTAGAAAGGAAACCCATTTCTTCATTTTGTGACTAGAAACAAGGACTCCAATTTTGATCTATACCCCTGCTTTCTACTGGGAATAGAGCAATAGAGAGATCAAAATTGCAAAATAATACTTTTTTTGCAATATGTCTACCTGAAGCTTGTCCATTGTCATCTTCCAGCTGAGTTCAATATGGGTGTCCCAGTTTGATTATCACAATCTGAATCTGATTATTTTGACGTAGGTAACACCCAAAGCCATTTTGTTTGGGAATGAATGGCACCCTGGCTGTGAAAGACATGTTTGTTCCCAATTATCCAAAAGCAGCCATAACCAGAAACCTTTAAAAAGGCATATGCAGTAGATTGCGCTTGGACTCCTGAAAAAAATGTATTTATTTAAGTGAGGATTTTTTGACAGCAAGTTAAGCATCATTGTTCTTTCTGTGCCTCACCGATGATTTCCTAAGGATTCTTATCATTTCCTAACTGTCTTCCCCACTGCTACCTTCTTCCCCTTAACCTGCTTTACTTAGGCCTGACTTCATCTAAGTTCAGTGAACTTGACTGTGAGGACAAGCTATTGGATTCCACTCAACTCAACAATAAATTCTTAATGGGTGACCTTTACTTGCTGTTATCTCACTGCTTATATGCAAATTGTGATGTAAGCTATATGATTTATATACTTTTTTATATCATTTATTACAAGTTAGGCTCTTGGATTCGGCGTTAGTGGGAGACATGGGTTTTCAGTGTGTCTCAAGTTAATAATTAACTCGCAAGTATTTCTGTAGCATGATCATTTCTTTTGAAACTGCTTTTGAGGTCTAGTTTTAGAATTAATGGCTTTTTCTGGTCAAATTTTAAAACCAACGAAGAATAGTAAGCTCCAGTTTAGAAGGTCAGGAGAGTTTCTTTTAAACTTAAGGTAATCATCTATAGCTCAGAAAGAGACAGTTAATTTTAGTTTGAGTTGTGAGCAGTACTGTGAAGTCCTAAGAGTCATATGGATCTACAGCACAGAAAAAGGCTCTGTTGCATCCATGCCAGTCAAAAACAACCATCTAACTATTCTAATCCCATTTTCAGCACTTGACTCATAGCCTTGTACAATTTGGCATCGTAAGTACACATCTAAATATTTCTTAAACATTATGACGGTTTCAGCCTCGACCATCTTTAATAAGCAGTGAGTTGCAGATTCCCTCCAACCTCTGGGTGAAAGCATTTTTCCTCACATCTCCTTTAAATGTTCAGTCATTTATCTTAAATCTATGCCCCCTCATAATTGATCCCTCCATCAAGGGGAAATATTTCTTCCTGTTTATCCTATCTGTATATATCTCATAACTTTATACATCTCAGTCGTGTCTCCTCTCAATCTCCTCTGCTCTAAGGAAAACAACACCAGTCTGTCCAATCTATCTCCATACCTGAAGCCCTCCAGTCCAGGCAATATCCTGATAAATCTCCTCTGTACCCTGTCCAGTGCTATCACGTCTCTCCTACAACGTGGTTGAAGCTAACTGTGTAGACCAGCTCTTGAGAAGGGATGTAGTGAAATGAGATTACTTTCCAGAAAGAGTTCATGATAGTCCCAAACCAAAAGTATTGAGTTAAAACCCTGAAATGGTTACTAAAACCTGAGTCTATTTAAGCTCAGGTGTATAACAGCTTCAGGAAGCATCTAACAGCATTTCCAATCTAGGAGTTAAAGTCACAGTTAAACATATCAAGATGTTAGATACATGGATTCTGTGAGTACTGTATGATGTGCAATACAAGATGTGCTTTTGGGTACATTTGAATTTGTTTTGGGTATTATACGAAAGCTGTTTTTCTTTTCAATTCATAAATAAGTACATTGATATTATGAGATTATACATTTACTGTGTTTAAAAATCTTTGAATTTGTGTTTTATGTAGTTTAGTTTAATCTGTTTTATCATAATTTCTTTTGTTGATAAGCTTCTGTTTTATTGTTAAAGCAAAATCTGCAATATTGCATATGTTTCAGCGAGAGACCACTTTATAAAAACAAAGACAAAACAAAATATGATCTATCAGGCCAGATTTCAATCTGGGGTCTGACTTGTCCAGTAATAACATCAGCTGAGATCATAACAAAATGAGTAGTAAGTCATCTTTGTTTTTGTTAGGCTGTAGTTGGTGCATTGCATGTACATTTTGATCATCCCAGCGTAGGAAGGTGACATATCTATGTCCTCTTAATTTATCCCAAGCTACAGTGACCAGCAAGACCATAGATCACATTATCCTAAATGACCAATAGATATTCAGATTTCATGTCCTTGGGACAAATCAGTTTATTCTGGGCACAAGCGTTAGTTTTCAGGAAGAAAGGGAATGAAACAACAAGAAAACCAGCTGTCAAAAGTAACAGGTACAAGACAAATAAATTGTTTGTTCCCCTGTTCATGAGGAAAGAAAAGTGACTGAGTTAAGTAAGTGAATTTCCTTTTGACTGCATCTTTGTACATGTGCTGTTTGGGAAATAGGCACCTTACCAATTTATACCTGGCCATATTTTATTATGAAAAGGTGTAGAAAAGATGTGTGAGAAGGTTCCAGGGTTGAGAGGATTTGGTTATGTGGATAGATTGGAAAAGTTGAAATTGTTCCCCTTTGTGAAAAGTTTGGAAGACTATTTGCTAAAAGTGTTCAGTACTGTGTTCAGTTCTGTTTGCCCTATTATAGGAAGGATATTATTAAGCTGGAGAGGATTCAGAAAATATTTACCAGAACGTTGCTGGGAATGGAGGGTTTGAGATATAAAGAAAGGCTGGATAGGCTGGGATTTTTTTCACGGGCACATAGGGAGTTGAGAGGTGACCTTATAGATATTTATAAAATCATGAGGGGTATAGATAAGGTGAATGACAGGTGTCTTTTCCCTAAGGTAAGAATTTCAAAACAAGGGAGCATATTTTTTAAGGCGAGAGGAGAAAGATTTAAAAAAGACATGAGAGACAATTTTTTTACATAGAGATTGTTTTGTGTGTGGAATGAACTTCCAGAGGAAGTGATGGATGTGGGTATAGTATAACATTTAAAAGACATTTGGATAAGTGCATGAATAAGAAATGTTTGGAGGGATATGGGCCAAGTGCAGGCAGATGAGTCTAGTTTAGTTTGGAATTATGGTCAGCATGGACTGGTTGGACTGAAGGATGTGTTTCTGTGCTGCATGGGTCTATGACAATGAGATGGAGTAGAAAGACAGACAGAAACTGTTCCAATTGGTAAATGATTTGAGAGCAAGATGACCAGCTTTAAAGTGATTGACAAAAGAGCTAAAGACACTATAAGGAAAGAATTTTTTAGGACGCAAGTGGGCTTCCTGAGAGTATGTCAGAAGCAATCATAGCTTTCAAAAGTGAATTGGATAAACATGTAAAGTGAAAAATATTGGCAGGCTGTGGGAAATGGGTCTGAGAGTAAATCTCTGTAAAATATTCTTTCAGAGAGCCAACATAGACTGTGTCAGCCCATAATTATATTTCTGGGTTTGCCTTCAATATTTTTGGAGAAGGGCAAATGAAAGAAAGCGCAGAATGCATGTATTGTTCTAATCCAGAGGTTATCCTCCTGAGTTACCTGACTGTATACTGTTGAATATTGGTCTGAAAGGGTTAATAACTGAGGGGGAATGCCTGAAGCACTACCCACTATGCTGATGTCATGTAATCTTGTGGGTAGCTCAAATTACTTTTCAAAGAGAGACCTAACATCTAGACCTACTCTGTAACAGGTTTCTGTAACAGTGTCTGTCTTACTGAAGTAATCTGTGGCTAGTTGCTAATATTTAATAAACAGTATCTTGTTAACCACAAGAGACTCTTCTAGTTAGACCAGGAAGTGGTTTTTCTCTACCATATGAGACCTAGCAGTGTTGTGAGTGAGCTTGCTTGTGCCGTATACATTCAGACAGTGTGAGCAATACCTCAGTACTGTACATAGTGTTAGCCTAGATTCTGGGGTCAAGTTCTGGAATGGGACTTGAACCATAGCCTTTTGACTCAATATTGAGGGTATGAACACCAAACCAAGCTGACACCTATGGGCTGCATAAAATTAATGCTAAAAGCCCATTAAATAGATGAATTATAACCACTCCATTAGCTTTTATTATAATGTCATTGGATAAGGATGCATGCTTAAATTTGTTTTCTATGTCTATCTTGAGGTACGATGGCTAAAGAAGACTTCCTGAGGGAGGCACAAATAATGAAGAAACTGCGACATCCCAAGCTTATCCAGCTGTATGCTGTCTGCACTGTAGAAGAACCAATTTACATTATTACTGAATTAATGAAAAATGGGAGCTTGCTTGACTACTTACACAGTAAGTATAATGACTTTCCACAATCAGCTTGCCTTTAGCTCATACCAAGAGATTTAAAGTAAAATGCAACAATATACAACAATAATTTATCAAGAGGGTAAGGAATAGGCAATTAATTCCAAAAGGAATTAAACTGTAGGAAATGAGCACTTTTTCCTGTTCCCTTGATATTTATCTGAGAGACGGCCTATCCTGGTGGCTGTTCTGAAAGAGAAGTGGGGTTGTACAATTTGTTTCCACTGTCACAAATATGTCCCTGGATGTTGCCACTTTCTTTCGTTAGAAGAATAACTTGAAGCTTTTTTGCATTCGGTTGGCATGATGTTGGAAACCTCTTTTCCTGATGTTTTTAAAATGAATATAAGAAAAATACTTTCACTAAAGCCCCCAAACTTACAATCAGGGAAGATACAATTTACTTCTCTTTTGAGATGTTTCTAAATTGTTGAGACAACATCTATAGGTGATGATGTAAGATAATTGTAATGAAAGTATCCTACGTATTTTATATATACAGTACCTACTCATCAGGTGAGGGCAGATTGTCGGAACATCTCTCAAAAAACATGTGTATGACACTGAGAGTTACCTGATAGTGTAGCAAATTATGAGAATTAGTATTTAATTTTAACATCCTATCGAGTATACTGTAATTTCCAGAATTGGCCAAGATGTTGAATAATCATAATGCATAAATTATCTGACTTCCACATTTATGTTTGAACCATTGCAGTTTTTTTTCCCCTCAGTTACTTTTAATGACACAAAGTGCTTGAAGTTACTGCTTGCTGAGTGAAATTTTACTGTGACTTAGTGCTCAATTCAGGAAGCACTGATGTCTGGAGCTGTCACACTGCTATTTCATTTTAGAGCAACATTCGTCCCTGTAAATCACAGTACAAATTGCTTGATGACTGTTGAGTGATTTCAAAAAATATAATAGCTACTGTCCACAGATGACTTGGTAGATAATTGGATTGTATAGCTGTTATATTCCAGAAAGCCAAGTAACTGAAGACTAGACTGGACCAAATTTTTTTACAAATAAATGCTGATAAAAGTGTGTAGAGCTATATATAACAAAAATTCACCTCCTAACCTAACCATCACAGTTAATGCCTGACATCTATATGCAATGAATATGTGATTAGCATTGCCAATGTAGAAGATTCCGGGTTTAGCTCAGTTAGTGCCTTAAATCTATCTCTGTAACCACTACAGACTTACAAAAAAAACACAAACTTATCACTAAAGAGTACTTTTTAGCATAATAAAATATCCCCAAATTCTTTATAGGTACAGTATAAAGCAAATTAGATTCTAAGTCGCATAAGGCAGTATTAGGGGGATAACCAAAAGCCTAAGCAAAGATAGATATCTTAATGCATAAAGAAAAGAAATGAGGTTGAGGGAGGGAATTCAAGGACTTACAAACTGGGCAATTTAAAGCACGATCGCTATTAATAGAGGAATTAAAATCAGGGATCCTCAAGGCCAAAATGAGTTAAATGAATGCAGACAACTTGGAGGATTGTTGGATTGAAGGCAATTACAAAAGTAGGGAAAGGTAATAGAGAGAATTTGAAACAGGGAAAAGACATTTGCAATCCAGCATTGCTCAAGCCAGAGCCAGTGTAGGTCAGGGAATCACAAATGTGACAAATGAACAGGGCATGTTGCATAAAAGTACACATGTATCAGTGGTTTGGGTTATCTCTAGGTTACTGAATATGAGAGGCCAACCGAAAGTATGTTGGACTTTTTTTATTCATTCAGGTGATGTGGGGTTTGCTGCTGAGCAAGCATTCATTGCCTTTTCCCTTGAGAAGGTCATGGCAAGTTCCCTTTTTGAACTGCTGCAGACCATTTGGTGTAGGTGTACCCACACTGTTGTTAGGTCCAGGTTTTTGACTCAGCGACAGTGAAGAAACAGTGATATATTTCCAAGACAGGATGGTGAGTAGCTTGGAGGTGAACTTGCATGTAATGGCTTTCCCATATATCTGCTGCCCTTATCCTTCTAGTGGTCTTGGGTTTGGAACATACTGTCGAAGCAGCTTTGGTGAATTTCTGCTGTGCATTTTACAGATGGTACACACTGCTGCTACTGTGCATTGGGGGTGGAGAGAGTCAATGTTTATAAATGAGTACCAGTCAAGTAAGCTACTTTGTCCAATGGGAGTATGCTTCTTAATTGTTGCTGAACTTGCACTCATCCAGACAAATGAATCATAATCCATCAACTCTTGATTTGTTCTTTTTCGATGGTGGACAGGCTTTGGAGAATTAGGTGATGGATTTCTAGCTGCTAACCTGCTCTTTAGCTATAGTATATACTTGGATCATTCAGTTCAGTTTCTGGTAACCCCAGGGTGTTGATAGTAGGGGATTCGGAAATGGTAATGTCATTGAACATTAAGTTGTGATGGTTAGTTTATCTTGTTGGAGATGTTTATTGTCTGGCATTTGTGTATCGCAAATGTTACTTGACACTTGTCATCCCAAGTCCAGATACTGTGTTCGAACATAGACTGCTTCATTATCTGAGCAGTTTTAAATGGTGTTGAAGTTTGTGCAAATGTAGGCGAACATCCCCATTCTGACCTTACTGTGGAGGAAAGTTCTTTGATGAAGCAGCTGAGGATTGCTGGTCCTGAGGAACTCCTGCAGAGATTTCTTGGAGCTGATATGACTGATCTCCTCCAACCACCAGCACCATCTCCTTTGTGCCAGGTATGACTCCAACCAGTGGAGAGGTTTCCTTCTATTCCTATCGATTGCAGTTTTGCTAGGTCTTCTCGATGCCACACACAGTCAAATATGGCCTTGATGTCAAGGGCATTCACTCTCACCTCACTTCTGGAATTCAGTTCTTTTGTCTGCCTTTGAATCATGTTTGTAACACTGTCAGGAGCTGAGCAGCCCTGGTGGATCCCAAACTGACCGTGAGCAAGTTATTGCTAAGCAAATGCCACTTGATTGTACTGTTGACAACCTCTTCCATCACTTTACTGATATAAAGAATAGACTGATGGGGCAATCTTTGTTGGCTTTGTCCTAGTTTTTGTATACATCACATACCTGAGCACATTTCCGTATCGTCGAGCAGACGCCAGTGTTCAAACTCTACTCGAACAGATTAGCTAGGTGTGCAGCTCATTTTGGAGCACATGCCTTCAGTACTATTGCCAGAATATTATCAGGCCCAGTAACATTTTACAGCATTCAGTATCTTCAGCCTTTATTGATATCACGAGGACTGAATTGAATTGGCTGAAGTCTGGTCAGTGTGAATCTGGAAACAGCTGGAGGAGGCCATGATGTATCATCCAGTCAGTACTTCCTACTGAAGATTGCTGCGAATGCTTCAGCCTTATTCTTTACACTAATGTGCTGAGCTCCCTTATCACTGAGGATGGGGATATTTGTGGAGACACCTCTTCCAGTGAGTTGTTTAATTGTCCACCACCATTCACAACAAAGATGTGGCAGAACTACAGAGCTTATGTTGGCTCTTATTTCAAGGGATTGGAGTATAAGAGTAGGGAAGCCTTACTGCAACTGTACAGGGTGCTGGTGAGACCTCTTCATAGACTTAGATTGAAGGGGTGCCAGTTTAAGACTGATATGTGGAGGAATTTCTTCTCTCAGAGGGTTAAGATTCTTTGGAGCTCCTTGCCATAAAGAGCTGTGGGAATCCTTATGTACATTAAATGTTGGCTAAGATAGTCAGTTGGAGAATCAAGGTTATGAGGAAAGGGCAGGAAAGTAAGAATGAGGAGTGGCAAGAGCTAAGGTTGGCCCTCATTTTAAGGGCTTAGGGTATAAGAGTAGGGAAGTCTTACTGCAACTGTACAGGGTGCTGGTGAGACCATATCTGGAGTACTGTGAGCAGTCTTGGTCCCTTATTTAAGATCAGCCATGGTCCTATTGAATCCTTGAGGACCAATAATGATCTGGTAAACCAGTATGTTTAAGAAGTTACGATGGAGTATGCTACGTTTATTAAAGCATTTCAGCTATGCTTTCATCCTAAAAAAAAGATAAAGCAGGCAAGATTTAATCAATGTGTAGAGCTGGATGAACACAGTAGGCCAAGCAGCAGCAGAGGAGCAGGAAAGCTCACATTTCGGGTCTGGACCCTTCTTCAGAAGCCTTGATTCTCCAACTGGCTATCTTAGCCAGCATTAAATGTACATAAGGATTCCCACAGCCCTTTGTGGCAAAGAGTTCCAAAGACTCTTAATCCTGTGAGAGAAGAAATTCCTCCCCATATCAGTCTTAAACTGGCACCCCATTAATCTGAGTCTATGATGAGGTCTCACCAGCACTCTGTACAGTTGCAGTAAGGTTTCCCTACTCTTATACTCCAACCCCTTTCTGAAGAAGGGTCCAGACCTGAAACGTCAGCTTTCCTGCTCCTCTGATGCACCTTGGCCTGCTGTGTTCATCTAGCTCTCCACCTTGTTATCTCAGATTCTCGAGCATCGGCAGTTCCTACTATCTCTGAAAAGATTTAATCAATGATGTCAGCCTTTCACAGAATTATAAGACACCTTTTTAATGGATTTACATCGGTCAGTAGGATATTGTGGATGCAGAGCTGTGAAGGAATTATTAATTAGAAATCATTTTGTAATTGCTGGGAGGGATGAGAAGTTCCAGAATTTCTTCAATCCAGGGAGGATTGCATAATGGAATTCAGTTCACTTCTCATGCAGAAATCAGGCCTGAAGATTTGACAGCATTGTGAGGAAACATCAGGGATTCTTCTGACACATTCGAATGGTTAGGCCCCAAAATCACATTGTCATACTCACGGAAGCCCAACAAAATTCAAAGTGCAGAAATCAACATGATTGACTATATTAGGTTGTACAAGATGTGGTTCCAAATGGATGCATTAGTGCAATGAATGTCTAGCTAGCAGAGCTAAGCACTATCAATTTAGCCAGTTAGAACACTTTAGAAAATATTGTAAGTTAACAGCATGTTCATCATCTTAAAAGCAAAGAAAACGTCCTGAAAAAGGAACATGTTTTTGAAATTTGAAACAATATCTAAACTGGACACAGGAACAGCTGTTTCAATACTAGCAGTTTGTCATGGATGAAGTTTGTCAGAATCAGACCGGAAAACACGTTCCAGGAGGCATAAATTTTCAGATGCACAGGCGAATCATCTCAAAGCTTAGTCACAGAAGATAAGCTGTCACTGAAACCTTATATATACTGAGGAATCAGACTGTCATCAGGTTATCATTGCCAGAACCTTAACTGGACCAGTCATATAAATACTGTGGCAACAGGAGCAGGTTCATACTGGGAATTTTGAGACTAATATCTTATATTCTGTATCCTAAAAGCCTGTTCATCATCTACAAGGCACAAATCTGGAATGTAATGGAATACTGTCCACTTTCCTGGATGAGTGCAGCTCCAACAACACTCAAGAAGGTTGTCACAATGCAGCACTAAGCAACTCCATCCACATCGTTCAACATTCTCTCCCTTTGCCACCAACACACAGTGAGAGCAGTGCATACTGTCCCCAATAAGCACTGCAGAAATTCACACCGGCTCCCTCAAAAGCTCCTTACAAACCAATGGTCTCGAATTCCCAGAAGGACAAATGTAGAAGATGCATGGGAATACTGTCACCTGCAAGTACCCCTCCGAGCCACATAACATCTTGACTTCAAAGTGAATCACTATTCCTTCACTGTCGCTAGGTCAAAGTCATGGAATTCCCTTCCTAACTAAATTGTAGATATCCCTGTATTCCAATGACTGGCGAGTTCAAGAAGATAGTTCACCATCACCTTCACCAGATAAATTAAAGGTGGTCAATAAATGCTAGTCAGGCAGCTACACCCATATACCATGAATGACTAAAGAACATTACACTTGAAAGCTACATTTGACAAGCTACGAGACATAGATATAAGTAAAGGTGTGCTACTCTACATAAAGGTTTGAAGTCCCTTCCTCAATGATAAGGAGCAAGTAGCATCAGGGACCGTATATGTGCAGACAGCCACGGCCCAAGATACTCCACGCCAATATCTCAATTTACTGGTCACAGTATTGATTAAAGCACAAGATAACTCAAACAATTGTTGATTTGTCAGCATGGAAAGGCGTACTCTGAGGCCTGGGCTCCGTAAAAAGTTGCATATTTTTACTTCATTTTAAAACAGTCTTGTGCTTAAATTTCATCATTACAGAGAATATTAAATGTAATCGTGACAACATGTTTAGGTTGCCATGAAACCCAAAATGGAAAGCATGTCCCAAAGTGTCATGTTTAGGTCAATCAATGATATTTAATGCTGGTAACTTTGGAAAGATTGAGAAAAAAAACACTTGGTTTTTTTTGTTTGTTGAAAATCTGAGATGATGATGAGGCAGATTCTTCCCAAACAAAAATCAACAGCTCTCTTTGGCAGCTGTTTCCATCACTTCTGACTAAAGAGGCAGATACATGGTCTGCAGGCTCTTGAACAGATGGGGCACATATACTTCTGGCTTGGAAAGGCCCTTGTATAAGTAGACTACTTCCATTATCTGTGCTTTCTTTCAGCAGCGTCATGTCTGTTTCAAACTTGTATGCTGATTTCCTGGTTGTTTTGTGCAAACTGATTGTGCAGCAGATTGCTGTTCCCGCGTACATTGGTCAACGTCACTCTGAGAGCTATCTTTTCAGCTGATCCTTGAAGTATTTACAAGATGCACCTTGATCTTGCTTATGTGGGATAACAACAAACTGATATCAATTATTCTCATTGATTCTGTATATTTTAGGAATGTGATATTGCACATTCCATTTCATCTATGTTGTAATCATACATTGTGTAGTATTCAAGATGAATTTCTTAAACGTTTATTGAAACCTTGTTGTGCATTTGTAAACTTAATTTTGTAATTGAGCAGTACTTTTTTCTCAATATAGTAAATCCTCAATTTGGGCCGAAACTGTAAAATGGACGTGGCATCTGATATGGTTAATTTAAGTGACTGGATGGGCAATCATCAGAAGTTTGCATTTCAAACGCAAACTGCCCATGGTCTTCCTTATTCCTGTGTGAGAGAACTGCTATGCTGTAGGTAATGCTGGTAGAAGATGCAATTGGAATGCCATCTCAGTTGGAGAGTTTGTTTTAAATAGGCTGATGGCACAATGTCTCTAAGCAACTTAGATAGTTACTGATCAGTCTGACACTGACATATTGGGAATGTGGTTATGCTAAATGCCCGGAGCTCATCTGTACTTTTTTTTGATAATCTAAGTGGCATTGATGATAGAAATGTATTTTATTCATCAGTTATGATTAATGCTAAATTAACCTTCAACGGCTTTGGTCAGCTGTTCAACAAAACAATGCGAAAGTCTCTGGAAGTTATACGCTAAAGTGACTGAGATGTGTGTGCCATAATGGATTCCACAACTTAGATGTGTTATCACGTGTAAAAAATCTGGATACCAAATGCAATTCTCTTCTTTCATTTTTAGTTTAGAAAAATAAATATTCTGAATTCTAGCAAAGACTGTGTGTTGCTTTTCATTTTAAGTAAATCTTGCATTGAAGTTTACTGCGACCATTTTGGCTTCAGTTAGGCTTCAGTTTTATTTCCTTTCTTTTTATTTTGAGAGCTTACAAGCTTTAGAATAATGGAAGTAGCTTCTGAAATTTAATGTATACAACATATATTCATTTCAACAGAAAACCAGGGGATGACTTTGACCATAAATGATCTGCTAGAAATGTCTGCACAGGTGGCTTCGGGCATGGCGTACCTGGAAGCTCAGAATTACATCCATCGGGATTTAGCTGCACGGAATGTGCTGGTTGGAGAAAACAACATCTGTAAAGTTGCTGATTTTGGACTTGCTCGAGTCTTTATGGTATACTGACGATTGTTTTCCATTTGTATAATTTTTATCTTAAAGAATTGAAGAGACATAGCCTGTTGTGAATTTAGTCACCTAAGTACTTCTTGAATAAAAATATTGCATTGTTTATCACCAGGAAAGCTGTGATCAAGATGAAAAATCAATTTAGTTAGATTAGTATGAGATAGCAAAACATCCATGACCTGTATACACATTTTGGCAAAACATGAAAGTGATAAAATGTGACAAATTGTGTTAAAGTCAAAATCATTATAGTATTTTGTTTCGATTTGTTTTTGACAACAAATTAAGTTATCTGCTTTTGTTTCTGAAGTATTAAATACAACTTTATTGTTTTGTTATCTTTATTTACCGGTAATTTCCGGGTTCCCAAACTTTGTTTTGGCATGTTCACTTGACCAAGTGGGGTTGGTTAGCTGCATTGGCTGGATGCCTAGAATGTCATGCTATGCCAAAGGAGCATGTTCAATTCCCGTACAGGCTGTGATAATTCATGGAAGCCTGTCTCCTCACCTTGCCCAGGCATGTGGAATGCTGCCACTCACACTATAGAGAAACAATTCTCTCTCTCTCTCTTCTGTGGGAGGTGTGTGTGATCCTTTGAAGGTTATGACTAATTACCTATTCCTTTCCCACAATAGCTGTGATACAGTTTAATGATGGCTTAAAAACATTGTCCAGTGTCAATTTTGTAATGTTTCTCTGGCCTAAAAGCATTGTTTTTAAGTTGTTACAATAGGGTGAGGGGATGGTGGGTTGGGGCGTGCCTTGTGGTTGGTGGGGGTGGAAAGATCCACTTCCTGATCAATTCTAAGAAGTGGAAGGCTTTCTACTTTTTTAAATCTCCTCTCCATCAGTCCAACAGGACACATTAATTTCATTTTTAAGCACATAGCTACCATATTTAATTAAATATAAGCAAAATACTGCACATGTTGGAGATCTGAAACCAAAACAAAGTGCTGAAGAAACACGATTTGAAAGGATAACTCAGATGCAACCAGACCTGCTGAGTTTCTCCAACAGTTTCTGTTTTAATTTGTTTCAGATCACCAGCATCTACAGTTCTTGTTTATAAAGTGCTGAAAAACCCAGCAGGTCTGGCACCATCTGTGAAGAAAGAAACAGAGTTAGCCTTTCAAGTCTAGTCTTCAGAACTGAAGAAAGCTGTAAAAGTCATGGGTTTTGTGCTGTGGAAAAGAAAGGAGGGGCAAGTGGAACAGATGGGCCAGTCCAGGGAAGGTTGTGGGAGATTGGAGATCCAAGATGTCATAGAACAAAGAGCGTGCTAATGGCTGTTGAGACCTTTGGTAACTTGGTGTATTAAACAACATGCAGCTTTCATGCTTATATTTCTGACCTGTGCCTGCTGAAGTGCTCCAGAAAAACCCAATGTAAGCTGGAGGAACAGCACCTCATTTTCCACTTAAGCACTTTACAGCCTTCAGGACTCAATATTAGTTCAGCAATATCAGAGCATAAGCTCTGTCTGCCATTTTAAAATTTTCCTCCCTCTTCTTCCCCTCCTCCCCTGTGTCTTTCTGTTACTTTTTATGGTTTTGCTTTCAGGCAGAGTTCATTTTGTTCTGTTATTAGCACTTATTGTGAATCTATTCTCAGTTATCACCACAGCTGTTACCCTTCCCTTTGTCTTTTGTTCTGAGACAGCCTGGATCTTCCTTAACTCTTCCCTGACTTGCAACTCTATACTTGTCTCTTCCCCTTTTCAATGCCATGAACCTGATGGTGTTTCCACCTCTTTTCAGTTCTGAAGAAGAGTCATAATGGCTTGAAATGTTAACTGTTTCTCCCTCCAGATATGCTGCTGGATATGCTGAGATTCCGCAGGACTTAGTTCAATTGAAGCAAAATAAAACCAAAGTTAAATATATCAAAAATGAAGGAGACCCAGTTTCTGAGCTTTTCTGGAGTGAATGAAAGAGAAGTTTTATTATCTGTTAGCCCTGAGAAAATATAATAAGATGTGACATCTAACACATAAATGCAAAACAGGTAGCAAGCCTAAAAATGTCAAAGGATGGGGAAAGGAGACTGTCTAAACAGATAGAAAGGTACAGAGAGTGTAATTTAAAGTTTTTTTGAATCCTTGAGTTACAAGAATGAAGCCTGAGTCACAACTGTTTAACTGTTGTCCTATTTCCTTCAAAGCGACAAAGCTTGCAGATAACCTTGACTTCTTAGTAAACAGTGGTTTTTACAATTTGCTTTATACTGGTGTTGATACCTGAGACTGAGATAGAGATTGACAGAGTGAGGTAGTGAGGAAGAGAAGCACTTTCACTATCCTTGTTGTTATCAATCCATGTTGCCTTCTCTCTCTTTTGTTGCTCAAGGGCTGCCTACTGAAATATTCATTTGTATATTCTAAGTATAGCTTTACTGTCTTTTTCAGATTTAATACTCTGAAGGTAACCTTTTATTTCCCAATATATGCAGCTACCATGTGAGAGTAAAACAAGAGATGCAAATTTCTTGACACCTCACTGAGTTTGTGCCTCTTTATTTAAAAGATAATTCTGATGCAGTTGGTCATGTATGTTCTGCATGAGTTCCCTGGATTTTTCTGCTAACCACAGTTGTCATTTAAAATCAGTGGTGTCCTTTTTAAAACCACTTTTAGTCAATTCAAATCAAATGATGGAAGTTGGATATTAATAGTCAGTTTTCACTACAATTCTAACAAAGATAATTAATAGTTTAGATTTTAAAAAATCCTTATTTCCCACTTAAACAAGATGACCCACCTTAAACATTTCCCTGTACTAACAGTGAAGTTAAAGCAAATAAAAGGAATGATCTTTCTTGAAGAACTAATATCTCTGAGAGATGTCTGTTGGGCTTAAACCTGTGACAGCAATGATTTTCAGAAGTTGTTTTAAAATATTGCATGGTTGAATTGCTTCCCTGTTGTACCCAGACTGATGTAATCGATGTAATTTAAGTTTTGAACGGACTCCTGTCAGTTTATGGAACCTGAATCTTATCAAAAAGTCCTTCACAAAATTGAAAAGAAATTGTTAATCTACCTAGTGCAATATATGGAAATTAAGGAGATCCATTTATAAGTAAAACTTGGAAAGTTACCACTTGGTCAGTGCTTATGCACTGTTCTGGTTTTAATCATATGTTCATATTTAAGGTTCTGTTTGTTTTATAAGCAGTTTCCATTTAAGTGAATACAATTTTACTGGAGTAATTTTAACTACATCATTTAAACCATCTTTAATTATAGCTCTTTTAACTTCATTAGACAGGAGATGAAAATGTTTATGAAGCTAGAGAAGGAACAAGGTTTCCCGTAAAATGGACTGCACCGGAAGCTATCCATTCCAATAAGTTCAGCATCAAATCTGATGTTTGGTCCTTTGGAATACTATTGTATGAAATAATCACTTTTGGAAAGATGCCTTATCCAGGTTAGTTTATCACATATCCAGGTTAGTTTATCACATTTAGACACATTTGCGATTTCTGATACTGATATTTCATTTTTATTTAAGCTATGTGGAAAAGATGGTCAATAAAAATCAAAGGTACAGTTTATCTATGAGTACATCTTTGTAGTTCAAACAAATGTTGAATTTCATGAAAACTATAAGATATTGCTGAGAACAGACTGAATATAAAAGGCAGATATATTTGGGAACTGGTTCAATTAGGAATTTAGTGATCAACCAATTTTAGTTATTAAGGAGTTCTTTTGAGAGTGTTTTTTTCATATCTTGATTGTGAAAGGACTAAAGTGTAACCTTTGAAATTTTAAGAACAATAACATTTTATATTTTAAACTTTATTTTTGTGAAAATTGGTAAATGTTTATATTCTTTCCTTTAGGAATGTCAAATTACCAAGTTATCCAGGAACTGGGAAGAGGATACAGAATGCCATGCCCTTCAGAATGTCCCCTGGCATTGTATGAAATCATGGTAGATTGCTGGAAAGATAAAGATTTTGAAAGACCAACATTTGAAACATTGCAGTGGAAGCTGGAGGACTTCTTTGAGACTGATCTTTCAGCCTATACAGATGCTAATGTTTTTGTTAGCTAATGTACATAACAAATGTTAACATTTTATCTGCTCTGATCAAATCTGATTCAATATTCACATCTTGATACTTATAATTTGTGAAAGCAGTTCAATCATATGCATACCCATTCAGTCATAAATCAATTTGGGGCTATTGCATACACATACTATACATATATGAATATAATTTAACCTGGCTGTGCAGTCAGAAGTTCACACACAAGTGTGAAGGTTGAATCAAATTCCATGCAATTGATCTATATGTTATTTTATATGAACTATACGGATCAGAAATGGCTGATGTGGCACCATTGCCATTAGGTTATGTAAATGAGGGGATCATTGCTATTCAAAAACATTTAGCATCCCCCAAAACAGCAGATGTTGTATGAGAGCAACAATAGACAATAACCAAGTGGAAAAGCAACCAGAAAGTGACACTTGGCCAGGGAGCTGCTATATTTTTATGTGAGGCAGTACCTTTTGAAGAGGGGCACAGGACTAATAAATATATTAGTTGTCTGTTGTGTTATTGCTGGGGATGAAATCTGCCTGCAGAATTCTGTTCTGTCTTCTGTGTCTAAATGAGAAGAATATAGAACAAAGTTGAGTAAGATACATAACAGGAGTTCAATCCACTATTGCCCATTTCGTACCCCTGAGGAAGTTTACGTTTATCTCCATTAACTTCAGTTTATACAGAAAAGTACAGTATAGTGCTTGCTTGTGTGATATTTCATTATACGGATTATGTATAACATATTTCACTGTTTATGCCAAACTGTATTCAAACAGCAGTTGAATTTTTTGATTTTCCTGTCCCCCTGAGTAATCATAGAAATTCACACATTATTTCTGTAAATATTCTGACCAGATAAATGGTTGCCATAAAACATAACATCACCCTTTTTGCAAAGATTTCTCACTGATTCAATATATTTTCTGAAATTTGGTAAAAGAATGTGTCTCTTTCAATGAACAATGGAACCTACAACTAAAGGACTATAGTATGCCTTCAGGACAAAGTATTGGTGAATATTCTCAGCAACCTACATTGTTTCAGAAAATTCAATCACACGATACTACATGCCACACAGTCTTAATTTGTATATAATTTTATGTTCAGATACAGATTTAAATTTATTTTGTAGAGCTGCAAGAGATTGAAATGTATATAAGCTAATTACATTTAAAAATTAAACTGCAACTAATCATATGTTTTGTAAATTGTGACAAAGAAAATTACTTGAATCCTGAACTATTCCAGTTTTATGCTTTTGTACTGAATTTGGTGCATTAAAATGTAGAGATATTCCAATCCACTCTGATTCCAATTCATAAATTTTGGCTTAGATTCATGTAGTTGCAATATTGACTAATCTAGGAAATGTTTCGTAAATCTTTATCTGACATACAACAGGTGAAAGGGAATATTCAGTTGTTTCATTTTTAATTGTCTACCTTTTTCAAAGTGACTTACTGAGGATATTGCTTCCATAAGACTTGATGTTTGGAGACTGATTTAAGTATTTAAAACCAAACAGCAGTATTGTCAACCTTCCAACAAATGTACAGTAGAAATTTTTACTGAATTTTAGAAGAAACTATTGCAGAAAAAAAGTATGAAAAATGTTTAATATAATTAATGCACAAAAGGTACAGTGAAATGCGAAGAGAAAGAGAGACCTTGTGAATTAAGATTCACCATAAGTTGCTGGACATTTTATCTGCACTGTGCCATTGGTTTTGTGAAAGTTCATTCACCTTTAACCTCTGCATGAAATGCGTGGAATTGTGCATTATTTACCAATTCACATTTTTAACACAAGATTAACTCCAGTAACTAACAGGATAAATGTCAATTATGATATTTATTGGGTAATGATTGCCAAGAATTCTGTTTCCAGGAAGAAAATGATTATATAAGCATGGAGTTTCACATCATTAAATTGAAAATTGTTGCTGGAGATTTAAGAAAAGTCCAATTTAACTGTATACATGTTTTCTTACTTTTGTCTGTGTTTTGAAGAAAAATGTCACTTTCCCTTCTTTCCCTGATCTTCATGAGTCTGATTTGACATTGACTTCACCCACTCTAATTTACTCTCTATCTCATCTTCACTTTATTTATTATGACATAAAAAATTGGAGCAGGAGTAGGCCACAGAGCTTCTTCAGATGTCTCCACCATTCAGCTGATCTGATCGTGGCCTGAACTCCACTTTCCGCCAGTGCCATAGCCCTTTACTTCCCTGTGGCTCAAGAATATATTAATCTCATTCTTGAATATTGTCAATAACTCAGCCTATACATCTCTCTGCAGTAGAGAATTTCAATTATTAGCATGATAATTAATACTTCCTCATCTCAATCTTAAATGGGTACTTCTGAAACAGTGCCCCCATGTCCAGATTCTCCTTCAAGAGAAACATTCAATTAACATCTTTTTAAGTCCCCTCAAAACTTAAACCGTTCAATAAGATTCTCTTTCCTCCAAAATCCAATTGGTATAGACACAACTTGTGCAACTTTCTTCATAAGACAATCTCTTTACCCCTGGAATCAACCTTGTCAAAATGTTCTGAATAGTCTCCGATACTGATATTTAGCCTTAAGTCATGAGACCAAAATAGTATGCAGTAAACTACGTGTGGTCTCACAAGTGCCTTGTAAAATCGTAACAAAACTCTCCTACTATTAAGCTCCACCCTTCTTTTAATGAAAGTCAACTTTCCCTTTGCCTTTCTAAATTTTTTCTGTGTCTTCATTTCCTGTAGGCGGGCACTCAAATCTCTATCACAGCTTTCTGTACATTATCTCCTTTAAATAATATTTTGTTTTCATTTTCTTCCTGTAATAGTGGATGACTTCACATTTTTTCCAAATGATGCCAAATCTGCCAATAATGACTTAACCTAAGTACATCCGTCTGCAGGCTTCCAGTGTCATCCTTACAATTGACTTCCCTATCTATATGTGTTATTGTCAGCGAATTTAGCTACAGTACGATCATTTCTTCATCCAGGTCATCACCATAAATTATATATGGTTGAGTCCCGATCACCTTACAGTACTTTAATTACAGTTTGTCAACCTGAAAGTGATCTATTTATCTTCATATTTTCTGTTAGCCTGCCATTAATCTCTCTGGACTAATACATTGTGCGAAAACCATGAGCTCTTATCTTGTAAAGTAATGTTTCATGTAGCATGTAATTAAATGCCATTTGGAAACCCAAATACATTTTATTCACTAGTTCTTCTTTATCTACCTCATTCAGCATGTTATCAGCTGTCTCAACAAAATTGTGAGAAAATATGTGTAAAACCTAAATATGCTGTTCTAAGTTCACCATTGGGTTAAACCTTAAGATGCCCATTCCAGCAAAATTTGGGCTAATGTTTGCACAAGTGCCTTTGCTGAATATAAATTGCTTGGTTATCTGATGTCAAAAAAAGGATATGATTTTAAAAGTACAAGTTTTGTAACTAAAAGAAGTTAAATTTACCACATCATCAATTTCATCTTTTGTTTAATTCATATCTTCAAATATTTTCTGGCTGATGGCAGCTTCATCTTTCAATGTTTATGTAATTCTTAATAATAAAGTGAAATCATCCACTGGAGCAAAATACTGATGGAGTTTGAAGACTTCAGTGTAATTTAAAATAATGTTAAATTGTTACACCAAACAAGTGATGTGAAATTAAAGTAATGTTGTTATGTGGTATAATTTTATATTGATTTGTTGTTGTGACAGAACTGTGTAAAGAATTCTTAGTTTATTTTTAGTTGTTGCAATATTAACTGAAAAATAATTCTCCTCCTTGCATGATAACAGAGGTAATGGACTCTACATATTCTGTTTTGCCAAACTGAGGATCCGCTTCATGATTGATGGCCTTGACCTTCAGTCTTATTCTTCACTTATCCTGCCTGTAATTAGTTGAGTAAGACTGTACTCTCATGTGCCCAAAGTTCCTTGAATAATGCATTAGTCTGTTTTCTCATGATATAATATCAGGAATTTTGCATGAAAATTACCAGTAATACTTTAGTCGGGGTGGGGGGGTTGGGGGGACGGGAGGGAAGAAAGAAAATTGTTAAATTGGCTATTTGTGCTATGAATACAAAATTATTTTATTGCTGGTAGGATTTTATATTTAAACAGTAATTGTGTACATGATTTGTACCACATGGTAGTTATAACTTTACATGATTAAATTTTACCATAAAGATCTGTTCTGAAACTAATTAGAGCTCCATGATTATCCTGTATGCTTGTTGTGTATGAAAGCTTAATATCTTTATCTGAAATTCCTTTCTCAGAGCTATACAATTTAAATGTGTTAATGTTATACACTTAAATAAGAAAACGAACAAACATATGGATATTGTACTTATAAAGGCCGCGTTTCTACATTTTAAAAAAAGAATCCTTAATAAATGTCGACTGTTTTGGTAAACATTGACATCGTAGTTGTATTATTTAGAAGTTGAATGATTTATTTACATTGCCCAACTATATAACAAATTATTTTTATCTTCACTTGCTCTGTGGATCATCTGGTCAGAATTTTGATTTCCAAAAATGGGTATATTGAGATTGGATTGGAAATCGAAGTGTTAAAAATCTGGAACAGGATCCAAACACACATGTCTGGTTTTAATGATCAAGGTCCTCATGGGAAACATGTTTGATACTTAAATATTATAATGAGGCTAACATCTTCATTTTAACAGGCATTTTTAACTACAGCTGTTTGGATTTTGCAACCAACAAAATGAAACAGCTTAAAGGCAAGAAAGGCTGAATCTTTTCAATAATCCTGTCATACCACTGGCTGTGACCTGCAGGTAGTTAGACTGCCTGCCCTGGCCTATTCGGTTACCCAGCAAATGCCCTTCTGATATACCAGTTTTCCATTTGCTCCTGACACTGAGGACCATCCACCAGTCGATCATCAACCTTCATGATTGTTGAAATCCTCCACCCCTGTAACTGAGAAACACTGACCCTCCAGCAACCCCATGGCTTTCCCAAATCATTCACACTTTTCCAATACCTTTACATGTTTTTGTAGGTTCTCTGTCCGTAGGCAGTCTTCAACCTGTTGGATCAAATGGCCTGTGGATGGCAGACTCAGAAAAAAACAAGCTAAAGCAATGCTACAGTTAAATTCTACAGGATATTCAGGGAAGCTAGTCTTTGACAGCCTCCCAATTGTACAACTGCACAGAAGTGACCTGAGGGACCTCCACGTTAAAATCCAGACCACTGTGTTAAAGAAAGATGCAATATAATATTTTTTTCTTGTGTAAGTGTTACATTTAAGTCTATGATTTTAAATTTTTTTGGTTTATATTTCTGCAGACAGTTTGCCAACAAACTTTGTACTTGAATAAGGGCTACTTAAAATTACTTTTTTTTAAAACGTCTGGAGTAGATTATTACATGCTGGAAATGAATATCATTAACTAGAAAACAATGTAGAATTTTTTCTTGTTGATATTAATAAAAAGGGTTTTTTTAAGAAAGGGATTTTTAAAAATCATTTTTAAGTGTCATTGCTTACTGTGTATTGCGCAAACTGGCAAATCAGCATCTCTTTCTCCTATAGTATAAATTGTTGTGTTCCTTTGAAATTTAGCATTCTTGTATTTGTGCTGATGAATGCAAGATGGAAAATCTTAACTACACATCTCATTTTATCGCAAGAATTTCAACAGATTTTAACTTTTGTGTCAGCACACTCCACGCACATTTCATTCAGTGATTCATAGATTTATTTCTTTCTTTCCACAACATGGCTCAATTTTCATTTCATTTCAACAGGCTAGATTACAAGAACAGAAATATACTGAGGCTATACAAGGCCATGTCCATCTGGAATATTGAGAGCAGTTTTGGTCCTGTATTTAAGGAAGGATATGCTGGAGGTGGTCCAGAGGAGGTTTACAAGAATAATCCTGGGGATAAAGGGCTTGATGTACGAGGAGAGATCTGTACTTGAAGGAATTTAGAAGGATGAGGAGGGTGGGTGTGCGGGGGGAGGGTGCGAGGGAGGGCTTTCATTGAAACTTACAGAATACTGAGAGGCCTGGATGGAATGGATGTGGAGAATATGTTTCCATGAGTAGTAGAGACTAGGACCTGAGATCATAACCTCAGAGTGAAGGGACAACCCTTTAGAAATAAGATGAGGAATTTCTTCAGCCAGAAGATGGTTAAACTGTGAAGCTTATTGCTGCAGAAGGCAGTGGAGGCCAAGTCATTGAGTGTATTTAAGACAGAGATAGATTGGTTCTTGATTTCT